TCGACCAGGGGTTTTGAGGCTAAGTTCTGCAGTAGAAAAGCTCACTTGGGTTCTTCTACACTGTGTATATTCAGAATTCCTAATTTAATTCCCCATTCTGCAGAATGCACAGTTTTAATAGTTAAAACGGTAATGAATAAATAACAACACAAATCCTGTCCTTTACCCGTATTTTTTTCTTTTGTAATGAAACCTGAAACTTACTCTGTAAACTACATCTCTGGTAATTTTTGAACTAGTATTGGTGGTCTAGTTTTGATAGCATTTTTAATAAAAATAGCAAGAATAGCAGTGGCTTTGAAAGTTATTTAAAGCCTCTACGTTTATTTATGGCATTCAGTGTGCAGTGGTTTGGTTGGTTTTTGAAACCCTTATTCAAAATGAATAATGAAACCCTTGTCTCTAAAATGGAGAGACACGGATTTGACAGATGGAACACTTGGTGGATAAAGAACTGGCTGGATGGTCGCACTCAAAAGAGTTTTGGTCAATGGTGTGATGTCTACATGGAGACCAGTGTCAAGCGGTGTCCCTCAGGGGTCTGTTCTGGGTCCAGTGCTGTTCAACATCTTTGTCAGTGACATGGATGACGGCATTGAGTGCACCCTCAGTAAGTTTGCCGATGACACCAAGTTGTGTGGTGCCGTGGGCTCGCTTGAGGGGAGAGATGCCATCCAGAGGGACCTTGATAGGCTTGAGAAATGGGCCAGTGCTAACTGCATGAGATTCAACAAGTCAAAATGCAAGGTCCTTCACCTGGGTCGGACCAATCCTAGGCACAAACACAAACTGGGCACAGAGTGGGCTGAGAGTAGCCCTAAAGAGAAGGATTTGGGGGTGTTTATAGATGAGAAGCTCAACATGAGCCGGCAGTGTGCTCATGCGGCCCAGAAGGCCAACCGCATCCTGGGATGTATCAAGAGAAGTGTGGTCAGCAGATCAAGAGAAGTGATTCTCCTCCTTTACTCTGCTCTTGAGAGACCCCACCTCAAATACTGTGTCCAGTTCTGGTGTCCCCACCATAAGAGACACATAGGTCTGTTGGAGCATGTTCAGAGGAGGGCCACAAAGATGATCCTAGGCCTGGAGCACCTCTGCTACAAGGACAGGTTGCGGGAGCTGGGATTGTTCAGCCTTGAAAAGAGAAGACTTCGGTGGGACCTAATAGCTGCCTTCCAATACCTGAAGGGAACCCACAGGAAGGCTGGGGAGGGACCTTTTACAAGAGTGTCCACTGATAGGACAAGGGGAAATGGGTTTAAGTTGAAGGAGAACAGATTTAGATTAGATTTTAGGAAGAAATTCTTCAGTACGAGGGTGGTAAGACTTTGGAATAAATTGCCCAGAGAAGTTGTGGATGCCCCCTCCCTGGAGGTGTTCAAAGGCAGGTTGGACGGAGCCTTGAGTAGCCTGATCTAGTTGAGAGGTGTCCCTGCCCATGACAGGGAGGTTGGATTAGATGATCTCTAAGGTCCCTTCCAGCCTATGCCATTCTATGATTCAGAATTTTGTTGTTGGATGGGGCTCTGAGCAACCTGATCTGGTTGAAGATGTCCCAGCTCACTGCAGGGATGTTGGGCTAGATGACCTTTAAAGTTCCCTTCCAACCCAAGCTATTCTGTGATTCTGTGGTAATACCCTTCATATTTTAGGTGCCATATCTCGCAATGTGTGTGTGCTGTACCATCTGTTACTCTGCAGTTGCAGTCAGAAGAATGACCCTGTTGTTAATTAACCTTTTGTGAAAAACCCTGTTGTGGTCTGTTAATTAAAGTCTTCCATTTCAAATTTTTAATTAAGGGAAATAATTGTGGTTGATACGCATTTGTAGTATTCTGTAAGGCTACAGTAGTGGGTGTTTTGATTTTATTTCTTGTTTTTCTAGAATATTGAGTGGTTTTCCATTGACAAATTACCATGCCACAGGAATGACATGACCCCAAAGTCCAAGCTGGGTTTGGCACCTAACAAATTTTTTATGGCAATTCCTTTCATCAGGTATGTTTGAGTTGAGGCAAGTGCTAGGCCAGTGCCTTTCAGACAACTTTAATTTCTTTAGATTTGCTGTAGTAAGTAGAGATTGTTGCACTTCTCCTTGCTCACAGGCCATTGAGGGAATGGATTTCCCAAAGGAATGAAGATTCCTCAGATAGTGACAATGGATTATCATCTACAGGGAGCACGCCCTCTAAGCTCAACTTGGAAAAAGCTAGGTAAGAGCCAGATCAGTTTAAGACCTCCATATCCTTTTTATAAAATACTGTTCATTCAAAGCTGCTTGTCCTTTCTCCAGGTATTAGTGTTTCAAGTAAAAGAATAGGTTAATAAAATAAATAAAATCGCAGGCATACCTCATAGGACTGTAAATAGGATGAGAAGTTAATTAATGTCATGATACACAGTTTTTGGTAAGTTCTTAGATGTGTTAGGACTGAGAAAATTGTTGAGTCCTGTCTGAGAATCCAAAAAACAGAAGCTAAAACAAGTAGATAACTTTCAGTGCTTCAAGTTTAATGCTTTCGGCACTTAGACAGAGGGAAAATAGGAGTCCCTGAAGTAGGACTGCAAAGTGCTGTCAGAAGCAGCTAGCTACATAAAACCTGTGGGGATCAGTAGCGGAACAGGTGCTGCTGGCTTTTGACTCAGCTGAGCTACAAGCGGTAGAGCAAACTTGAAAATCTATAGTCCCAAAGAGAAGGCTTTGTTCCAATAGTTCGAGTCAGGTCAGCACCAACACTGACAACAACAGGACAAATGCCAACGTGGACCTAGCCTGCTATCTGTGCGGAATGCAGGCAAAACAAAGTTGAGTGAATGCAGTGAGCGTTACTGCAGTTCACACACTAAGCTGCTTAAGCTTGTCTTCCAGGTTATTGTCAAAAAGCAGAAAATTCTGTCATATTTCTCTTCTGCTATCAGTAGGCTTGAAGCTGTATTGTAAATTGTTCCTTTTACCTCTACTAGATCCAAACTTCGCTGTAGTCAGCAGCTGTTTACAGATGGCTCTTCAGGAGAGCAGTTGGTGAAGCCAAAACAGCCACAGAAGCCATATAATAATCCTGAGATGTCTGAAGTTTTGAAAATAAAGGTAGGTTTTTTCTTGGGCAAACTTAAGTGTCTGGGATATTTAAAACAGATGTCTTTGTTCATAAGGTTTCCTCTCGGGAACGAAAATATCAGATTTTATCATTGTAGCATGCAAAAATGAAAGCATGGGAAAGAAAATCTGGGGGATTCTCAGGTTTATCTGACTTTAGAGATGGTGGGTATCAGGTGGTAATTGTGTTGTTTCAGGTATAGATAGCAATTACTACTCACTGTTTTGGTATCCTCTGTGTACCATTTTGAAATAGTTTGAGTACCATTAGGATATATGCATCAGTGTATGAGGTCTCACTGAACTGAACTTATTGTGTAATACAATGTCTATGATAGTGCCAGAGAGAGTTAAGAACAGTTGATGGTTCTTTGTATCTTGAATGTACGTTTGGTTAACTTCAGCGTGCTTCAGTTTGCCTACAAAAGATAGTGTTGCCATGTTTTGGGGTTATTTGGAGGAAAGTTCTAACTAGTAAGTAGGAAGTGTCAGTGCAATAAAGTTCAATGCTGCCATTTAAACTCTTCTCTTTACTACATTTTGGACTTAATGGCAGAGTCAGAGCTTGAGGAGCAATGGCAGAAAGCAGTATCAAGACACTTCCAGCCAAAAGAAGCGAACAAATGGAGTCCACAGTCAACCAGTTAAGCAAAATCATACCTTGGTAAGAAACATGCAGTGGCTGTCTCATTAACAGGTTCTAGTAATGCTTAACAATTGTACAGGCTAGTGTCCTGCTAAGAGTGTACGTGTGTCAAAAGTGTATTTGATCAGAATATTTGGTACACGTTTGTAGCAATATGACATTTCTTACCTGCTATGCATAAACATCTATAGATAAGCGTACTATACTTCAAAGTTCACATTTCGGAAGGAAGTCTTGTTTTAGCAGTTCAAAATTTGTCAGCTGTTTCAGGAGACAATCTTGCAGCTTTCCAGGTTCCTGTCAGGTAATAGCCTACTGCAGTGTGTCACAGTAAGTCAGTGTAGTACATGTCTTATTTGTTCATGTATGATACATTATTGTAAGCGTGGAGTTTTGTTATGCAAGAATTGGATACAAAGTGGTAATGCGTATGCTTATTATTTCCCTTATCTCTAGCAAGAACGTTCGGGTGCAGACTTGACTTGAACACCAGAATCTTACGTAATTTTTTTAATCTTACAGTAGAACGGCAGCAGTTTGTAAATGCCAGTATGATATTCTTGTTTTGTTATCTTTTCCTTGCAGTAACTCATTGTCTCCACAGTTCTGCTGGCTAGGAGAAAGCTCTCTTTTTTTGTTTACTGTCTTTTTGGTCTGCCCCACTTGCCGTGTAGTTTATGGCGCTCCAATTCTACTTTGTTGGCTCTTGGGCAGCAGTGAGTTCTCCATGCAGCTCAGCTGGCTTGTCCAGGCTTTAGTTTTTCTTCTTTACTGGCTGTAAGCTAGATTCTTTCCATTCTGGCTTGTAGTTACTAATTTCTCTGTGTTTTTCATGTAGAAGTGTAAAAATCAGAAACTCTCGTCGTGTAAAATCCTCACTGTAGAAAGAAATGGTTAGTTGTGTTTGGGTCTGAGTAGAAGACTGAAAAGTCAAAGACTGCCCAGAAATTTTCTAGGCTGTTGATGGAAACAAGTGAAACTATTAATACTGCACAGTTACTTTGTAGGTTCTACAGACTTTGCTAAATACTTCTGCAGTGTTTCATTTGCACTTTCATGATTGTCAGTCTTTTGAAGTTTTAAATATTTCATTCCCCAGTGACAGTTTTAATACAATTCAGAGGCTAGGGAACTCTTAATTCGCAGAGAGTGCAAAGGGCCATACTTTTCTCTCTATTTGTGTACTTGCAACAGCAATACCTGTGGCTAAACTCCTCCCTGGAGAGTTCTATGTTTGTGTCTCTAATGCATGCTAATTTAATTGGCAGTAGCCAACGTGTTTGCAAATACATTCCTCTTGCTCTTTGGGACAAGCCGACTGAAAATCGGGCTTATGCATGTGCAACTTTTATTGCACGTCACCAAATGCAAGACCTTTTCAGCTTAAAACATCTAGAAAGCACTCAAAATTTTTCCCTAAAAGCCTGCATTTTAAAAATGGCTTGTTGACTGTTAAAAGGTTGGATGCTTCTGAAAGACTTATCGACTTGAAACACGCTTACTAGATAAAGTAACATGATGGAATTCATGCTAAGTAAAGTAATTCACACATCAGGAGGTGTGTCAAAGCAAATATAACCAGCATGCCTTTTAGCTGATGCTTAAGCTATATCCCTAAGAAATAAAATGCTATTTCTTTATGAAGTGTGTAATGTATGGTCATTCTCTTAACCAGAAATGTGAAAAAAGGCTTAATCCAAGAAGACTTCAAGATAACTTTGAAACAGGCAAGTGCAGTCTGAATTTTCGGCAATTGTTGTGTTAACAGGCTGAAGGCACCTGAATAACAATGGTTGACGGTTTGCCTTGTATGCTAACCTACCAAAGGTTATAAAGCCATATTTTAAGGCAGTCTGAGGTTCTTTTTTGTCTTTTTTTTTTTCAATTTGGTTAACTTCATGTGCTGCTTCATGTTGGTTTTGCAATTCTTCTCCTTAATTATTAAGACTGTCAGATTAGACTAGACAGCTGAGTGAAAAGTAACTGAAAGCTGGTTTAGGAAAATAGCATCTGAGTCAACACGATTCTGGTAATTAAATGTTAGTTCAAGGCTTTCTGTCCTGCTAGTACTAAGCTGCAGTTGGTGTTGGACTACTCCAGAGAGTGCACACAGTTCTTTACTTACGGCTCAGAAAACAGGGCCATATTTCTTTCCTTCTTATTGAGAAGTGACTTATAAAACAGCACGTATGGGTGAAACTGGTTCTTGAAAATGTTGCCAGGTTGCTGTGATTTTTAAGATTTGTTCTAGCCACTACATGACTTGTAAATATGGCTGGCTCAGTTACCTTCTTCTGTTCATGACCCGACGTACAGATTTTGTCATAAATATTAATTGAATATATGCTTGAGGTATGGCTTTGTATTGTTATTGATACTTTTATTGATAACTATGTCTTTAAAATTTCTTTCATGCTTTTTTCTCTTTAACCAGATGCAGCACATGAGATGTGTTGCTCCAGTGAAGACCCACTGCCAGAACACGTAGAGGGACATTCTGTGTCATCCAATGGCCATGACAAATTGGCTTTCTCATCAAGAGCTTTCTTGAATTTCAAGTTTGACCATGATGCCGTAATGAAAAGTTTTGACCCCTGACAGCAAACTAAATAAGAACAAAAATCAGACTTGCCTGTTGCAATTGAGAGTGTTTCTTATCCAGCCTTACTCTTCCTCAGGAGTTTTTTTGTTTGGTTTGTTTGTTTTCAAATGCAGTGCAGAGACTGACTGGTGGTTTGGAAGGGTTTGTTCTATTTGCAGTATAGGAGTGGCATAGTCAAGTGTTGCATTTTAAATGCAGTATAGCCTTTGTCCACAAAAGTACCTTTCCAGTGTTCAGCTGCTTGTTCCTAGCTGTGCATTAGAGGGCATTCTTTTTTCTTTGTTGTTTTTTGTTTGGTTGGTTTTTTTTAAACTTGCTGTGTGTTTTTTTGAATGTCATTGACTTTTTTTTTAACTGTTGGAGTATACCAGCTTGCTAAACTTTAACCGTTCTGATGTAAATTATTGGACTTCTTAGTCATTATTGTGTAGTACATTGCAATATTACAGCAGTGGCACTGAAACCTAATCTCAGAGGACTCCTCTGTCCTAGTGATTTTGAAATCAAGTTGCACATTTCAAACCTAGCCTCAGCCTGTCATCCTTTCTCTGTCCTGGTTGCTTGCCCAAAATACCTTTCCTCCTTCATATGGATAGATTCTGTTGGCTGGTGATCAGTAGTATTGGGAGTCAAATCTATAGTATGTTGACTTCTTGGACCTACTCTGCCTCTGTCTTCAGTAAGGATACACAAACTGGGTAGAACTTAGCCATTCAGTGTCTAGCTTCAACTCTTACGCACTGTCCCCAGCTGGGTAAGAAGAAGTTGCAAAGTTTTGTGTTATCCAGTTGCAGCTGCTTTCAAAAAAGAAAAGCTTAAAACTTTTTCTGTGTGAGGTTACTTGTGTAGAATTTATACTGAATGTAAATAGATCTCATTGAGGAGGAAGGCAAGTGCATGGCTAATGGTCATTGTGTGACAACAAATGGCTTCATCAGGTTTGCAATAACTATTCGAAGAGTGTCCAGTGTTGTATTCTGAGCCATGTCCTCAGATTTCTTGTGTAGTGTGTGCTTTGTAGATATCCAGTAGTATTGAATTGCACTTGGCAGTTAGCATTTAAACGATGTAGCCTCAGTCTTTTTCAGCTACACTGCTTTCTCAGTAAAAATATCAAAAACTGGAGAGAGGAACAAAAACCAGTAAGAGTTGAGGTGATTAACAGTTAAATCACCTTCATGGTTCAAGTTAAGAGACTTGAACGTGTGCTTTGTAGTTGAGAGAAAAGCACTGAAATAATTCGTTGCAGAAGCTTGTGGTAGCAAGCATGTTGTCCTGTACTTAAAAATGGACTTTTCCCTAACATAAAGGTGAGTAATTGGTGATTTCATAGGTTGAATGAACTGTGCCCTTGTCTCACCACAGTGTATGTTCATGCACTGAGTCTTTATGCAACTTGTGTCATCCAAAAACAAAATCCTGGTCTTCCTTCAACCACCCTACTTTATCTACCACACCTGATCTGTTACCTAGTGCTTTTCCTCAGAAATATCTCCTGGTTTATTTACCTGCCTGGCACCAGGTGACTTGGGACTCTAATGCTGTAATAATCTTGGCAGTAGGAATGCTGGACTTCTGCATCAGTCAATAAGAGAAACGGACTGCAGCATTTCTTCCTTCTGGAGGACAAGAGTCCTGAGGGCCTTGTCTTTCAAGACCAAATCGTGAATTAGCTCAATCTAGCTTCGTCTCACTTTGTTTGGAAAATAAAAATAAAAAATTAAGTGGTATTCAAAGGCTATTCGAAACAGTACTTGGCAAAGCACAGTAGTTGAGAAGGTGGGATAATGCTGGAGGAGGTTATGTTATTCAGCTCCAGGTGAAGACTAATCTTTAGTTACTACTGTAGTACAAGTAGTTGATTTCCCAGCAAAAGTGCCTTTACTCATGGTGAAGCAGAAGTTTGTACTCGTATCCTGAGGCTGCTGCTGCAGCCTGTGGAGTTAACGACTCTCTGAAGGCATGATTAAACATCAGGCTGTGGAAATCTTTAAGTTGTCTTTTCAGATAAATTAGTTCTATTTCATCTAGTTCTCTGTGAAAAAAGGATGTTGATGAAACAGCATACTTGGAGCTTCTGTCAGCTGTTTGGGAAATCATGTCCGAGACAGAGGAAGTCTTTAGAATGAAGCAAATGTGTCCTATGAAAAGGAGATGTGGCTGCCCTCTACATTCACTGGGTCATTTTCTTTTCTTTGTAGTGAAAGGTTGGTTCAGTGTGAGAAACTGGTTGCTTCATTAAGCAACCGAAAGTGGGGCTTATACATATGCCATGATCTTAGTAAATCTAGCCTTAATGTGAGTTGCAAATAAATGTGATAAATATGCAATAACTTTTTTTGTATAAGGGTACTGTTTCTTGTAGTAGCATTGCTTTTTGCTTTCTCAGTGAGGTTAAGACAATGTAAGTGTGGTGGCATGTGATCTACCTTATGGGTTCCGTCATGCCCTGCACTGTGAACATTTTGAATTGTTTACTATTGTGTATGTTCTTATTTCACCATCCTTTTATAATTAAGTATATTTCTAAGTTTAGAAGTACCGTTTACATTATCTTCTGTAAAACAGTGAGGAAATAAGAAGTGAGATACAGGATTATAGTTCTGTGAGTTTTTGTTTATGGGAGCTAGACACAGAGAAACAAGTTTAACTGTTTCCATATCAGACTCAACAGCTGATGTCAAGATACTTGAAAAACAAATATTGTTCAGTTTGAGAATGCTTGCCTGTAAGGGGGTTACTCCGATTATGAATGGTCATTCAATGTTAAACTGAAGAATTTGTGGAATAAACAAACATGTAAGAAAAAAGCTACAAATGTGTGGGAGCTGGGAATCCAGTACTAGTTTGCAGTTTCCAGTAGTGCATAAAGTCCCTGCTTGTGAGATTTTTAGCATCTCTCCTTCACGGAATGCTCTGAACTTTGAACTTGGACTGAAGAGCGATCTGCCTAATTGAATGACGTATGTCCTGTGCTGACATGTGATTAACTTCAACACCTTGATGTACATGCATGCTTTTGTAAGTAGCTGTGTCTTACATAGTTTGAAGCCTGGAAACAGTGGTGCTGAGAATAAGAGGGGAAATAGCTTTATTTATTGCACAATCAAAGTATTTTTTTAACACAATGTAAATTCTTTAGACTGAACTTGCATAAATAGTTTCTAATAAAGTTTTGGGCCTATTCACTGTTCCTGGCCTTTGTGCTGTGCTCTATAGCCTTCCTGATTTAATTTGGTGATTTGGGAACAATACTTACTCTGGTTTTCCCTCATCTACCTATGACTGTTATAACAGTACCTTTTAAAAACAAAGCAGGCTTCGGGTCTAGCTATTCGTAACAGACTTGCTCTCCAATTGTAATTTCAGATAAGAAATTATTTTTTTTCCAACTTCTATTTACTGTAGTAGAGTTGCATTTGTTGATTTGCAGTTTATAGCAGCACTCATGACATTCTGGGGTGAAGAGCAAGAGTTTACATTAAGAATCCAAGCTCTAATGTCCTGTGGTGCAAGACCGCACTGCTGCTTCATGGGAGACTGGCTGTCTAGTTGTTGGGTCAGTGTGCTGTTTAATCCTCAGCTCCTTGTGTGATTTTTTTTATAAATTCAGAACAACAGAGGCTTTTGCAGAGGTAAAATCAGGTGCTTTCATCTTTCAAATCAGGAGGTAATACTCTATATGTGTTAGAAAGCTCAAATATTGAGAACTGGTAGAACAGCCTCCCTTGATGATTTAAAATCAGTTTATTTACAGAAATTGTCTTGCACTGTAAATGCTACATAATCTGGTGCTCATACATGATTTCATAATTTCAGATTGTTTTTGTTATTACAATATTTCAGCTTTGAAGCAACCAAAATTATTTAAGATATGGTAAACTTCTACAAACTAACTGAAGGTGCTTTTACAGTAAATTAGATTCGGAAATGTCACTACTTGCGCATAATAGTTTTTTTTTTCATCTGCATTTATAGCAATAGGGTAGTTCAAGAGTGAAAGTAGGCTAAATGCTAGTATTTGCACTGTTCTTAATCCTGTATATAAGCACTGATAGATGCAGTAGGATTTGTGCTGTGTGTGCATTTCACTATTTCAAGTAGGTTGTGAACTTACAAGGAAGACAACATATGTAGCAATTACATTGGCCATATTCGAGATCATACAAGAGGGAGTATTCTGGATTAGCAGTTTTAACTTAGCTTTTCATTGAAGATGTTAGGTTAAGCTGGACTTCAACTTACTGTATAGATGATTCAGCTTTATAGAAACCCTTATCTTTAAATTGTTCTCAGCTCCGGGAAGGAAGTCTTCAATTCCTCCTTCAATTCCTCCTTCAATTCCTCCTTCAATTCCTCCTTCAATTCCTCCTTCAATTCCTCCTTCAATTCCTCCTTCAATTCCTCCTTCAATTCCTCCTTCAATTCTTGCAGGCAAAATAAAGCAAGCTTGCTTTTAAGTAATTATCAAAATTTCACAAGGTACAGAATGTTTAAATTTGAATAGCTCCACTATGAAATTTACTGAAAACACTTATTTTGTCAGTGTTAAGCATTTATATTGTGGATCCGAAGAACTAGCTTCTCGTTTCCATTACGGGTTACAATTCAATGCCTTTAAGAAAATGATTACAGCTCATGGAGCATTAATCATTTTTAAAAAAGGCATTTATAGCTTTTTAAGAACATAGATCCTGCAAACTCAGGTCTCTACAACACACTTCCCACTGCGAGAAAAGCTTACTTTACAGCTGTTTTTTTTTTAAGCATATTTGAGCAAAATAGCTAAACTAGGGAGATGAACCATTTCCATCTTACTGGTTTGGTACATATTTTTGTTACGCAGGAAGGAAAAGCATGCAAAACTGCATGATTAAGAGCTCTCAGCAAGTACTTCTCAGCCTATACTTAAAATGGGATCCTTAAGTAACTACTGTCTGCATGGCACTGCAGCATGTGGAAGCTGTACTTCAGCCCCCGAGGAGCAGTTCAGCTG